GGTGAGTCACCCTGTGCTAGGGAAAATCCGTAGTAAATGAGCAGGGGGCATTGTCATGGATCGTAGATCATGCATCGATCAAAGAGCAATGAGAAAATCGAATGCATAGAACCTACTCAATGAATAAAGTTGAGGTCAATACCAAGGTACAGTTCTGGACATATGTCCAGGACATGTGACCTATTCTGTGATCGTGAGTTATTGACACATATCATGTGTTGAAAAGCAAACAATCAAAGATCAGTCAATTCATGGCTGGAAGCGACCCTTGGACCGCGTCGTCTATGCCACAGTCACCTTGGGCTATTTTGAAGGTGCCATGGTCACCCCATCCTTCATTCCAGGAGTTCATAACCAGCCAATAATCAACTCCCTTCTCAGTACCCCAGCCAATAATCTCAACAGAATGATCCCCAAGGTATCCGCCACTCGTATGCTTGTAGACACCAGACTTGTAGGAAGAAAAGTCTTCATACGTAGAGAATGAAGCCGAGGTCTGACAGAGGATGAATTGGACATACATACTGCTCGAGTGAAAGAAAACTGGTCATACTGGGCCATTGGTCATGATCTCTTTCTTGATATTGTCTGTTCCCTCGAACAAATAGGGTAAGGCACGTGCGGTGAAGTGACGATCTCTTGAAACTATAAATTATGATATATTACTATTAATCACAACTCACTTGTCCCGCGGAGTTCCGTATTTCTCATTGGGACAGCGGTCCAAGCACGAAGGTGTGTCGTAGAGTTTCTGATGGATAGAAGCTCCAGCACCACGCTGGTGTCGCTCCCCCAAGGGTGGTACTCTCACCTCCGGACACGGCTCGTATTTGGAGTCTTCCTGATCGTGAGCACATTTTGGGAAGCTGTACGGCCAACAACCATCGGCTGCGCTCATGCTCCCTTTTGGAACGAAATCTCCACCTGAATGTAGAAGACCGCTCGGAAAATCACTAAGTGGTAACAGTTGGCCTACCGGTAACAATACCGTGCATCTTGAGGAAGGACCAAGCTGCCCTGGCTATGCCTCCTTGACAGCCGTGAGAACTGACATCAACTTCAGGTTTTGAAATCAAACTCCAAGTGGCCGAAGAAGCCTGGACGGGTCTCACTTGCAAGAATGCACTGAGTTACAACACGCGAGCATCTCGCCAGCAGAGAGTAGTTGATTGAACTTCCCCCCCGATTTGATGCAAAGACGGGCATTGAATGCCTCAACTGGCGCAATCGCCCAGCAGCTTCCACAAGCCGACTGATCCCTGCAAAGAAGAAGCATGTGAGCGTCGATACGGAAACTCCCTAGCACTAACGGATGTCAGCTACCAGACATGACCGATGACGTCCTTGCACTCCTTGAACGCATCGCGGGCATCAAAGCTACTCGGAATGTCAGCAAGCTCCTCTGTTGGGTAGACCTTCTTCTCGAGCCCTTTAGTTTCCTCAGGTAGTGTGCCGCAAAGCTTCTTGGCATCACCGAGAGAGCGACCTTAAAGTTGGCCGCCAACAAATTCATTAACACAGCTCTCGATGAGGCCCTGACCAGCCTACCGTAGAATCTCTCTTGGTCAGTGGACGCCGTCCATAGATTCTGCTTGGAGTTGACCTCATCTACGAGACTTTGCATGATGGCTGGTCTTGTGTCCTCATACAGCTCTGCCAGCTGGTTGGGGGACAACGGCACATTCTTGGCTTGTAGCTCTTCCTCGAATCGACTGAAATGCTGAAGCTCCTCTTCAGGAGTATACACCAAGTCTGAAGTTCAATAAGTAGAGCCGACGCCAGTTGAGTTTGACCTCACTCTTCCGAGTCTTTAGATTGTCGAAGATACTCCTTGAACCTCCATCAAGTAGAGGTGATGCTACAGGGAGCAGCCACGTAATGATGGCGCAAAGCATTAAAGAATTCTCTATAGCAAACAGTACCTGTTGCCCGGAATCATAGTCGGGGGACAACACGAGTCGGGGGAGTTGTAAAGATCTCTGTCTTAATCTATTCGGGGCGTGAATGATCAGATTTGTACACACGTGCACACCATGTGCATGTTGTACGTCTTGAGGGATTACTGATAACTCGAATCTGCTGGTAGCTGTTGAGGAAGTGTATTCACCACTACTCAACGGACATAGGAAGACTGAAAATAACGTAGCTAACTCAGCCTTGAGTAATGAGAAATAGGCAAGAAAGTAAATTATCAAGTGGCCTCAGTTCAATCGGATGATTGTTGTACGTTTTGCGGTTCAGCGCAGAGTACGGAGCGCTGCTAACGTGTGATCATGCTATACTGTTAGTTTGATATCATTTCGTTGCGGTTCTACCATATTACGGCTGTTATTGATGGGACAGACAGCCCCATGATCGGATCTCGTACATCAGTTGTCTATTTTGTGTTGGCTAAGGAGACAGCACGCCGGCGGCGACGACGTCAACGGTTCGCTGGGACCATTATCAAGTCTCGCTCGCTCAATATTGTCGTAGTAGGTTTTGACGATGGTGATACAGAAGATATCGATTTAGAGTCTTGTGAGTATAAGATCATTTCTAAGTCCTAGTTAGTTTACTCTTGCGCCTAACGGCTCTGTGTTTCTGGTTCTCTGGGCTGACTCTCACCATATATTGCTTTGTGCATGGTCTGTGCATGCGTGCTGTCTACTATTCCTGCGTGAGCGCAGGCGTGCCATGCACGTTAGGTTTCAAGGTTGCTTCTCTGAATCTTCCCTTGGAGCCTGGACTCAGGCACAGGGTCTAAGGTTTCGTTATTGTATACCCGCTAGTGGCTACGCTTTCACCAATAGCTGAGGGATAGTATACAGTATTTGTCAAGTGACAGATATTGAGATATCTGCGTACTCGGGCCGCAGATTTCCCATTTTTCTAGCCTCGTTGCATCGTGTGACGAGTATCGTGTTTATCATTGTCTCGGAGACAATGTCTCCTCATGCTCTCTATGTATGCTTTTTACATCCATAGATGGCATGGTTATCTGATATTATCATGAGCTATTTCTGTCTCAAGTCAATTTCCTTTCGCCGAGTCATC